CAATTTCACTATACCTGACACACCTCACTGCTAAAATAGAAAATGTATTACAGAAATGTTTCTGCTGAGATTCATTAATGCCATTTTAATAGTTCACAGCTATTAATATTGTACCTCAAAGTATGAACTTTGTAGGCATCATCGCTCTCACCTTACACATGTCCACATTGTGGTCCCTCCTTCCTGGCAAACTGAGGCACCAGGCAAATGTGCAGAGTAACAAAATTGAAAGTTAGACCCAGGAGTCTTGATTCTTAGCCTATTACCATGAACGTAAGGTGGCACCTATCTCACTACAGAAGTTTCTTCAGGAACAGGGTCCTCAATGGCACTACAGGTGAGCCCATGAGATGTGCAGCATATCTGTGCAGTCTGAGCTTTGCTGCACTCCAGGCATACCAAGGCATAAATCCTTTGATGCTTCTGAGATATCCATGGTGCTCACAAGCCTTCTTGCATTCCAAGTATACTTCGTTACTAAGGAAAAAAAAAGTTTTCACATATATCCTCATGTTTATACATGGCACTGATGACAAGAATGCCATTTGCTTTTATTTTAAATGAAGGGTTTTCAGTTTTGGTTGGCCCTATGCTTATTTCAGAAGCCTGTATAAATCTTATCCCACGTGGGAGTCATTTTGAACGTATTAAATAATGATTTTTCCATGTCTATTCCTCTTTGATGTAGCCTCCTAGGAGAAAGAACTATTCTGGGTGTACGATCTGGTCATGTTTTAACAATTTGACAATCTCCTCAAAAACTTCCAAGAAAATGTGAGTAAAAAAGAAAAAAAAAGAAGGGAAAAAAAAAAAAAAAGCTTCTGCACCCAGCTCAGTTGTTCCCCACAAATTATAATGCAGCAACTTTTTGAACATACAATTTAAATTCACAATTCGTTTCTTATTTTTAAAGCTATTTTATACCACTTGATTAATTGCTCAAAACTGTACACAAAGATAAAGGGAACTTTGAAATTCATACCTTGGAGTATTAACATGTACGCAGGACTAGACGTAAATGTCAGAGAGAAAAAAGATCTAATGAACTCTTTATTGGTGAAATTCAGTATTGCAGCTGCGTGGAATTCTAAGCGATTTGTAGCCAGCATCCAAAGCAAAATAACTGTAGACATATACTTACAGCATGGACTCTAGTTCAAGATTTATAATGTCGTCTTCTGGGGTGGAGAGAAGCCATTTACTCTGCTAGAAGTTGCGGCTACTTCATTTTGTTGAAGTTTAGTGGGATCCTCTTAAGGTTAGCAAAATATTCAGGGGAGAGAAAAAAAAAAAAAAAAAAAAAAAAGCAAAGTGCAGCCACAGAAATATTCTTCTGCCTAGAAAATTACACTGCCATAAGTCTCCCTTTTCCCCGGTGTCTTCCCGGCCATAATAATGGCTTCAGGATTTAAATCCTTTGCTGTTATTGTGACTTCAAAGCCTTAAAACTGCAATTGAATGAAGTAGTTCATCTGTCATTATTCAAATACGAAGCAATTACGATGAAATAAAGATAGAAGTCCATCGAGAAATACCCCAATCAATTTTGACTTACATTTAACTAGAAATGTAAAGTGATGCTTAGAAGGGTAAGTTTAGGTAATAAAAACTGAGAACATAAAAAGTATGAATTACTGATCTATAACTTATTCATTTCTCCACAAGCTTTCTAAATATATTTCATGAATATTGACAAAGCTTTAAGCTTAGGGTGGGAAACCGTCCCTCAGCTGCTTGGAAAGAGAGATTGGTTTTCCAGGAACCTCTTTTCAAAGGTTGGGTGCCCAGAGGTTGAGCCAGGAACCTGCAGAGGGTTTTAGGAGTCTCCAGAGTGTCTCTCCCTTCACAGCTAGACCTGTGTGGAGAAGTCCTACCTGCCTGATACAGTGTTTGGGAACACAATCTAACATATCAACACTTAAAGTGTTCATATTTTGTTTTGCTGTCTCCTGTTCTTCATTTTCTTGCACTGAATGTGTGGCCCAGCGAGGCTAGCCCTGCTTTCTCCCCTTCTCTTCCCATCGTTCTTCCTTAGTCTATCAATCTGTAGCACTTGCTAAAAGAAAGGAAGAGGAGTTCTGCTGCAGTTAGACAAAGGACTCTCAATATTTTACATCTTCATCTCTTAAAACAGGTCACGTCCTCTTTCATTTGCACCCATGTAACAACCCTCATCCCTTCATCCCTGCAAGTACAACTGTTCTTTCTGAAAAAAAAAAAGAAAAAAAAAAGCTGCTTTCCTGCTTATGGAAGAGGACTTGGCCTTCTCTCTAGCCTCCTCCTGACAAAACAGCAGTAAAATTGCACAAATAGATCTTAAAAATATTTTCTCTTCAAGTTTTCAACGGTTACAGGGAATTTAAATGATCTGTACAGTATTAACCGGGTTGTGCTAAGAAGCATCACATACAACCAGGCATCTACACGTTCTCATTTATCTTTTATTTTTTCATCTTATAGACATTTTTTGATGCCTACCTGCATATCATTTCCTGCCATCTACCAACCCTCATGTCATGCAGTTTAATTTGAAAAATGTAATTTCTTCAGACAATCCTAGAATTAAATCTCATCACAATTAAAAGCCAGAGGTACTTAATACTGAATTTTAAATCAGAGACGTAACTAGCGAGAAGCATTCGGGGTATATACAATTAATTATTTCTCACATAATTATTTCTGATATTACGCTAACTGTGATAACTTAGAGCACTTGAAGCTGTAGACTGTAATATTCCCTCCCCCCCCCTTTTTTTTTTTTTTTTTTTTTTTGCATAGAAGCTCTTTCAGTTGCTAAATCTCACTAAATAATATGTAAAATACTGACACCTAATGTTAACTTTTAGTATTATTCATTTTGCAAAACTTATAGTGCAACTAAAGAAAGAACATGTAAGACAAGTGGTTATGCTGTAACATTTCAATAAAATACAATACACCCTTGCCCCACTTTACAATTTTCTTAATTTTTCAAATGTATGTACATGTTAAAGGAGCCTTATATTTGTCTTTGCAGCTCACAGATAAAAGAGAAAGAATTCAGAAAAGGCAAAATAAGTAAATTTTGACTCTCTGAACTTTGGCAAGCCATCACATACCACCAATGCTATAGAATGACTATGCACCAAGCCTTAGGTCTTACAGAAGAAAAAATACTATTGACCATTTATTCAACTGCTATGTTTCCAAAACAGGATTTACAGATTTACCTACCCTACCTGGCTCGCTCCAGAACTTAAAGGAATTGCTCTTCCAGCCAGTGACTTTAACACAGATCCCAAACTGCTGTGCTGGCCCAAGGCCCCTAAATTCATCATCCTGCCCATCATCAGGGCCCATCATCATTTACACCTGATGCCTAAATACTACTGAGAGCAGGTTCTTCAGTGGATGGCTCACAAGCAGAGTCAAGCTGAAATCAAAATAAGGGATTTTTATAGCATTTTATAGCATAATTTTCTGCAGAAGACATAAGTCTTTTTAAGTCCACATCATTCAACAGGTGACAGTGGCAGCACTTCAGATGTGAGAATGAAAATAAAACTGAAACACAGAGCCCTGGTCTGCAGGAGAGCAGGTCCTTTCTGTTAAATTAGAGGAATTAAAGGGAGATGACATCAGTGTAACCCAAAGCTCTCGAGTGAGCCAGAGCTCTCCATCCAAAGAAGAAGTTCTGCTCCTTGTCACGATATTCCAGGTTAAGTGGCTGTTCTTGCTTTTCACAGGTGCCAAAACCACCGACAAATGCTGTATTTGCAGTTCTTTCAGTCTTCCATTGCCCGTTACAACCACGATGTAAGTATTACTGTGACAGGGAGTGTAAAGCCACCTGTTTGGGGGGAATTTTATAGCACAGACTGGTCCTGCAGAGGATGGGTTGGGACACGGACGCAGAAGCCCAAACAGGGCTCTTGATGGGCACAAATGTGGCAGCCAACACAAAAGCCCTCAGAGCAAAAAGGTTTGGAGCTGTCCTCATGCCTCACGCTTTATAATCACAATAAAAAGTTCTAAAAAAAGTTATCTTCTAAGTGTTTCCTACCAAAAATGAGATGCATTGAGTATCTTGGGAAAGAAAATCTTATGGCTTAGCTGATTCTTGAAAAGCAGGTACAGCCTGAGCACACACACGCTTAGGGGCTCAGTTACCATTCACATTATCAACGCGATCAAACAAACAAAAACCCACACTCTGGTTAAAGTCTTAGTTAAAGTCAAAGCTTATACCATAAATTAACAGTAAGATATTTTGCTATAGCTTAAACAATTCATACTATATTTCACTTAATGTGAAACAAGCCTTAAAATCACTATAAATGCTCATATAGCCCTTAACACCCTTTTCCACAGACAGGCTTAAAATCCCTCTCAGATTTCTCAAGCACATCACCTTTCAGATCACACCTAGAAATATAAACATACAACTTCTTATTTCAGCCAACCTTATCACACTTACCTACCAAAGGTGGCGTCCCCAACAAATTCACTCATCAATTAGATGTTAATTAAAAGAGAATTTCACAATATTGAGGCCTTTGAAAATTTCAGTACCCAGCAGTTAACAGTCTTTCAACAACTAATTGCTCAACTTCTGCTCTTCAAGTGCATTATACCATTTATTTACTTTAAATAGAACTGATTGTCTAAAAAAAAAAATCCAATTTGCATTTTTAGTTTAAGTCAGGGGTTTGTCTATTTTCCATTTTTTTTTGTTATGCATCATTTTTTCTATTAAACAGGAGACTTACTTTCATTCCATTGTAGCAGATAGGCATTCTTCTGTGCTTCTCAAAACTAATGTAATAAAACCACAGAAAATGTTTAAGAAAAGCCCCATTAAAATATACAAAGCACACTAATTCGTGAAGTCAAAGTCAAGGCAGAGTGGAAATACGAACTTTAATAAAACTATGTCTGTTGTAAATAGCCATTCAGGCACAGTCATTTTTTTTTGCAAGCTGCATGGGATCCTGCTAAGGCTACGAGGAACAAAGAATCTCTCAGTGGGATAAATGCATCTTGGTCAAAAACAGATTAAAAGATGAAGCTGAGGCATCAATGAGGAGCGGAGCGCACGGTGTTTGCTTGGAAGCCGTAATTGCAGCTCCCAGGATTTCAATAAACCTGTGCACATCCTGGAAGGAGTTGTAGAGAGGAACCGGGGCGACCCGGAGCGCGTTGGGCTCGCGCATGTCGCACTGCAAAACAGAACGGGGAGCGCCGGGTAAAAGTGCAACCAATAAAACTCACACATCATTTATACAGCATCACACTACCAGCATTCCCTCCCAGCACTGCTAAATGACAAACGCAGAGCCTTAAATTTAGTTTTATTTTTCCAAGTGGTGCTCCATGGCAAGCACGACCTCAGCTTGGCTACCTTCTGACTGCCCATGCAATCACAAAACCTGCTGTCTCTCCCCAAAACAGGCAGGGGTGTCCTTGCAGTACAGAACCTACCCTGGCTCCAAAGGTGCAACTCTTCCACATATGCTGAATGATACCTGCACACACATGGCAGTTACTGAGATGACCTAAACCTTTCCAGAGCTGCAAAATGATGCAGGTTTAGTTTGCACACCCCAAAATTGCATTTCCATCGTCTGAGTAAACCCTCTCTTTTAGTAAAAGTTTCTTCTGCAAGATTGCTCTGAAACCTGAGCTGGCATCCTCTTTGCTCAATCTGAGGTGGGGTGATAATTTTAACAAAAGGCTTCTCTGGATTTGTTTTATCCTCGCTGTAGTGATGCTTTATCAGGTACTCCAAGTAACCAGTGAGCAGGATGGATTTCCTTCTCAAGGCTTTCATTGTGGTTTGACCAAAAACCTATAGTGATTTAAAATCTTTATATAAAGGCATTGCTGCAGGACATAAAGTGAAGTCAAAGGCCATTTCTGGCCTTCCTAATAATGTAGATCATTTTGGTAAGACTGGGACCTAGCCCTGTTGCTCTTTCTTTGCTAGGGAACAGATTTCTTCATGCACATCATACCACTAGAATCAGGTGGCAATATCTGATATATGTTATATCTGGACATGCCAAAATGGGGCTTTTGAGAATATAGGATAAAGCTCTTAGTTCAGATCATGGAAAACACCCCTGTCTGCTGTTCAACAGTTTTAAATGCACCCAGGCAGGAATTTGCACCCAGCAGCACCAAAATTCTCTGCACATGCAACTGTAACTCTGCACATGCAACTGTGCTGAGTAAAACCCCAAACCCCACATTGGCTTTTCCTGCCTCAAGCAGCAAAAGCTGGGGGTTAGGACTGCAATGTCATGACTGATACCTATTGCACAAAATTCCACAACCTTCCTCCTCATGAATTTTTTTTTTTTGCTCTTATTTTCCAGCATCAGCCTGTTGTCACACTACAGCAAAGGAAGTGTTATACAGTTAAGGAGAGGCAGCTCCCAGAGAAATGCAGTTCTAGTGTTGGCATCCATCTAAAAGTTGGAGGAACAACTTTCTTTCAACATTATTATACTCCTAAGTTCCAAGTTGAAGTAAAGCAGACACTTACCTCTAAACTAGCTTGCAAAGCACAGACCAGTAAAATTGGAGGATTTGATAAGCGGAAGCCATTAATTCCTTCACTTAGTTGCAATTCTGGAAAATGAATAATGGATATTAATGTTTGTGATTTTTTTCACTTGTAATGTCTTGGACCTTATCTTGAAGCCTGTCCTCCAGCAATAAAATATATTGCTAACGTGGCCTTTAGGAATCAGTCATTAAAAGGAAATAGTAATCTATTCCCAGCTAATACTCTGAACTCCCAGAGAAGCCCAATTTTATCCAGTGGAAGATCTCATTAGCTGCTTCATGGGAACTAGAGAACTGCAATTAATTTGCTTAAATGGTGTGTGTTAAAACCACCTTTACACTCGAATCTCTCTTAACACCGGCATAAACCGGAGAAACTCCGAGTCAGCAGAGGAGCTCCCGCGAAGCCGGAGCGTGCCGCTAGGGAATCACGTTCCTCAACTTCATTAATAAACTGAGGCGACAAGTGGGAGGCTGTGTCTATGGTGAGCTCCAGCTCCAGGCCACATATCGAAGTTGTGGGGATTTTTGGCTGTGAAAGCTCACAAAAACTGTTTAATAAAGGCATCAAGCACCACTGATTTCTGAGTCACTTCTGTGTTTTACGCCCAGCACCCAAGCAAGAGAGCGTTGAGGGAGATGGTCTTAGCACATCGCAGCCCGCTTAATTTTATAGCGATTTTTTCCCAGCTTCTCCGTATCGATTCTCCATGGAAATTAACAAACAACTCTTCTTCTAACAGTACTACAAGGTAATTCGTGTCTTCTGCTGTTTTTTTTTTTCAGTGTTCCACTGGCTTATACCTGGTCAGAAGACAAGGAGCAGCTGGATACTATTAGAGACGTGCTCTGCAGCCTAACCCAAAACCACACACACACCCCCAAAATCCAAACAAAATCATCTTTCTCATGATCCTTCACAGCAGCTTCTCTGCAGTGCTTTGAAACAAGGCTGCAGAAAATCGAACAGCTTGGACACAGAAAGGAAGCCTAATTTCATAACACGTCAGGACAATAAAGCTTCAGTGTCCTTCAGAGTAGATTTGATTTAGTCTCATGCTCCTTCCATTGCAAGTGCAAGGGATTTGGAGATGCTGAAGCACTCATGATGCCCCATCGCTTATGTCAGATTCCCTTACCTTTACGCATATCATTTTGTGTTAATTCCCATGGAACTAATCCCAAAGCAAGATATTAACCACCACGAGTGCAAACAGTCATTTGTTAGCATCCTACGGATTTAATTCACTTTTAAACTTTTATTCATAGGCCACATCTGCATTTTGAAGGGGCTTTGGGGTATTTAAGTGAAACAGCTAGAAGTGGATAACAGGATAGGCAAGCCTAAAGATCAAATTTATTCCTGTATTTATTTTATTGACTCAATTGTGTTACACATTTGGGATTAGTTTAATTTAACACTGCTAACATAGGTGAAATGCAAAATTCTCTCAAACTCCTTTGATTTAAACATCTAAACTACTGTAAAAGTGATGCTGGTTATATAAAAACACATCCTTTGAGGTAAAACTGTAGAACATAGAGGTACGTACTGTTTTCCATGAGGAATCGTGTTTTGAATTCATGACCCCACCAGCCAATGAGCCTAAAATTGGTAAGAGCAAGTAAATGAAAAACAACCTCCTTCCTTTGATATGTTTTAACTTGCTTTTGAAAGTTAAGAAATATATAAATAAGATTTAAGAACTATATACATTTCTAATGTAACAATGGCATAAAAAGGCAATAAATTCTATAAATAGCAAGGATTAACGACTTAATTTTTACTATTTGGAAATTTCTCTTTAACAGCTAAGGATAAAAATGCATTACATTTTTCAATTGACTATTGATTTCTAACAATATCAATTTTGTCTGAAATCATTTTGCAAAATGAAAAAACAGAACATAAAATACTTTCACTCTTCCATTCCTAAGCATTAAATTCCTAAAGTTAGCTTAATGAATATTGAAAGCTAAAAGGTGTTATAAAAATCACACAATTTCATAAAGCAAAGATATTAATGAAAACAGCAGATGGACAACAGGGTCTCGGAAGACAGACTGTGCTGGCTTTGTCTTTTCTTTGCTGTGAGACAAGGATGGGAATTCTGGAGTACATTTTTTCCTGAAACTGAAATTACTATTCAGAAAAGACCCTTTAAAATTAAATTTAAGGCAATTTACTTTACAGATCATATTTTTCAGATCATCTCCAAGAAAGGAAAAAAAAAATCTGTTACATTGAAAATAATTTATTGTAGCATTTTAATTAAGAGGACATTATATTATTACTGTTGCCTGACTTGAAGGGAAACCTTCTCAAGGACATTGCTATAAACAGATTTCCAATCCATGCAGAGACATGTTGGGAAAGAGAGAAATAAGTTTCTGGTGGTGGTGGCTGAGATGCTCCTTGAATCCTTTATGGACTGAGATACCAGGAAGCATTTTAGTGGCATTAACTTTCTGTAGGAGAGGTGAATGGGTCGGATTCCACGGGTGAAGGTGAGGGGTTTTCTCCCACCTCCCAAAGCAGCTGGATTGGACTCGGCCTCTGGCACTCCAAGATACAAAAAGTACCAGAGAGCAGCAGAAAGGATGGAAAAAAAAACCCTAAAAACATCTTTTTTTCCCCTTGTATTTCAAATCTCACAGTCGGTACAGCACAGAAGCCGTGGCTGAAGATGCCTTCCCAAGGTCTCTGGAGACGGTGGCATAAAAACATTTCTCCCTAGACTTTTCTCTATGCCAGGTAGCTGAACTGGTGGGGATAAAGGCCAGGAATGCTCAAAAGTTGCAGTAGTAAAAGAAATCTAGGGGTAAAAGTTCCTGGTAGCTCAGCTTTCCTGGAGGTGAACAAGGAAAAGAAGAACCTCTCTGTAAAGCAGAAAAACACTTCTCTGCACCACACTTAGAGGAACTTAACTCCATGGTATGAAGACCACATCTGAGTTAAAGCCTCGTTATGGACTTATATAGTCTTGTTGTGCACAGTGTAAAACAAAGTACTTGGCATTTCTGCACAACAACATAGGTTTTATGTTTACTCCTATGAAAGGCTCTGAGCTGCATCTAAACATAGTGTGCACAGAGAAAGCACGGAGGTTTTTATAGCTGCAGGATGTTTCTACTCTAAGACCCATGAAAATCAATAGTGCAATACGTATTTGCTTCAAATGAGATATTACATTGCCAAAATGAATATACCCCAAATAAAACATACCACAGGTTCTGCACATGTGACTCCATTACAAATGCTTTGAATCATAAAAGATACCCTAGCTACTCAGCATTACTGTATAATATGTATAGAATATTTTGCCATAAAGCCTGAATTACTCTGTATTACTACAAAATCCTGCTGATATCAATGCCACATGCATTCCATGAAGTCCAAAAGTTTTGTCCAGCAAAAATCCCAGTGTGAAATGCAGCAAGTGGACTAATATTCTGCAACAAGGAGAAAACAATAATATGTTCTGCTCAGACCGTTTCCTAAAGACAACTCAGGTTGCACCTCAAAAGCTCAAAACTCAATAACTGAAACTGGCTCAAACCAGCCTGCTGTAGAGTCATGATTGGAATGTGGAAACTGAAATTCGAGAACTTTTGCAAAGTGACAGGGTGAAGGATTTTTTAAAAGATACTTTTAGCTGTCTTGCTCTTTCTTACCATAACTTTGATAATTTTTTTTTGCGGGGGGAGGCTGTTCTAGAGCTTCAGAAGTGTCACTGCAGGATATGCACTGTGAGGCAGCTCTGGTCCTAAATCATCATTGATCTAATGGTCCATATGGATGTCATTATTTGACATTTAAGTTGACAGGCTTCAAAGTGCAGAAATTAACAAAGTCTTTACAAATTAGCAATTTGCTGTTTACAATTTTCTGTGAAAAATTTGATATGAGGGTAGCCACTGCTATGCCAAATTTCATCCTGTTGTGATGGGAAATAGCTAAGGTGTTAAACTCTAAACATAAGGCTTTATAAATGCTCACTAAAAATAACAGGCAATAAAACTGCACATTAAGAGGCTGCAGTAAAATTTCGTATTAAAGAGTTGTTACTCTGCATGCAAACTGGGTATTGGAAGTGAAGTCGACATTTTGACTACTCTTGCTTCAAATACAAAGACACCAAGACTTAAGTTAAAGCTGAATTTCAAGACAATCTATGTAAAACGCAAAATATGGGAGGATCTGAAAAGTCATATTTGATGTTTTTGTATTTAAAAATACCTTGAGCTTGTAACTGGACTGAAAAACATTCTCATTGCAGACAAAGCCCAGTTCATGAGTAACTTTTAAAATTAAAGAATTGCTCTATTTTATCCTTCATATGAAAGACGTGTCTTCTTGTCCTGATAGCAACGAGGACATCCTGGAGAATTTTGTAGCCTCTAAACACAGATTTAGTTTAAATTATATCTTGCACATTTGTAAAGCAAGCTCTTACTTGCTCAATTTCATGACGATTATCAATGAAAGTTTTTCAAGTCCCTTATTTCATCTTCACATTTTGATTATTTTGCAAATCGATAAGTAGACATTTGCTTCCCGAAAGGAATATTGTCCTCTAATTTAGACCTACTCCTAAAAAGCACGTTTACACCAGGAACAATCTCTTCAATAAGTGTTTTTATTTAGCTCATTTTCCCCCTTGGTATCCGTATGCATTAGCTTGAAGCTCTGGTGGTTCGTAGCTTCAACCATCTCATTTGTAGTTGCAATAATGGTGCAAGAGTGTGGGATAACAATGATAATGATGATGCATGCACAGTATAAACAAAGAAGATCCAGTTAAGGGACATAGAAAAAATAGAAAAAATCCCTTTGACCTTTGCTTTGAGTTACAGACAATTGTGCTATTCATTTATAATTTACAGCTTGAAGCAACATGGGTCTCATTTCCCTTCTTGGAAAGAAAAAAGAGGAAGAAACTCTGGAACAATGGTAGAGAAGACAGGCAAATATTATTAATGCAGCTTGGGTTTTGCAATCCGGGGCAATGCATTCAAGGTACCTTGTCATCATACTGGGCAAAAATTATTTTCTGTCCACGAGAGAGCAAGTCAAAGAGCTGCAGCAGGGACACAGCTCTAAGTGACAAAACTTGGTTAAACTTGCCAGCTGCGCTGCACACAGAGCAGTTTGTCTCCCCTCAGCAACCAGGTCAATTCTGTGGAGAAATTTCCTATGTCTTTCTTAAATAGTGTGTCTACTAGGAGCACATACCAGCAAACCATGCTACATATAATTTATTTAATTCAGTTTCACATAACCAGACTTTGATATTTTTAATTTTTTCTTCGATTGCGCTTCTGACTATTGTGCATTTTTTTTAAAAAACATTTGATTGTGAATCCTATTTGAGCTCTGAGGAAGAGGAATTAGTATTAGGAAAGTAGTAAAATACTTGTGTTTGCATTTGTCTTTTGGAGAAAACTCATGGCTTTATGGCTGAGGAATTTCAGGCCCTTTCTCCCACCAGAACACCAGCCAGTACCTAGAAATACTGGAAAACACAGAAGACAACCTATTATAAGGATCCAACATGACTGCTACATCTGCAAAGGCAACTTAACGGTTTCCTGCAATCCCAAACATCTGTGACATAAATGGTTAGTTCAAAAGGGTCCCTAACACATCAACTCCATATGTTTAGGCCTCACAGTATTCTTAAAACCTATAAAAGCAGCCAAAGAGGCACACGACACTGGCACGGGCATAGGTTCACTGTGTCTCCGGTATCCCTCCATCGGCAGGGAACGCGTTAAATTAATGACCCACAAGGTCTTAACAAGTAGACTACCAAAATAATTGAAAAACCTGCCTGAGGTTAGAAACAAGCTGAATCTGACCTCAAACACAGCACATTGCTCATGTTTAAGCATCGTTGTACTACCTAAGAGAACACGACACTACCAAACCGCTAATGCCACATCCCAAGCTCAGGTTTTTCCAGCTTGCAATGTTTCAGAAGGCTGGTTAAAGAGAGAAATCCTGAGAAACCAATGTTATAAACCAACTCCCAAAAGCACAAATATATTCCTTAATATGACTTACACCCATATATGAGTCTAACGCACACAAATTTAGTTCTACATCTTGAGCAGTGTCCTGGGGCTCCCTGTAGCGCAGGATGGATATTAAAAATCAGGCAGGTCTGAGGTTTGGAGCACGAGCACACTCTCATGCTGCCGTACTCAGGTGGAAGTCAGTCCCAGAAACCAGAATCATATAAACAAACTCTTACATCACCCTCCCAAAACCACCTGACTCTTGCCCAACAGAACAAATTTACAGCATAACTTCCAGAAAGTTTTCAAACTCTGCTGATTTTTGCTCCTCTCAGGAGTCAGTCTTCTCCTCTCTACATTTCCATTTGTCAGCTAGGCTTTCCTTGGCTAAAACCTATTCAAAGTAGGCCATTAACATTCTTCTTTTGCACAGTCTTCCTCCCCCAGAGGGGCCCATAAAGTTCCTAGTATCTCAACCCAATTCTTTCTCATCTGGGCAGTCACTTCACTTACAGACTTCCTGCAGGTCTTCTGGAGGCATCAAGTATACAGTACCTTGTATTTCCCATCATCAGAGCTTAGAAA